TTCCAACCTTAGAAATGTTGTTTCTTTCCATAGCCATTAAACTGGCAGTCTCCCTTTAAACTTCCTCTTTATCGCTACTCTTTGCCTCTTCGGACAAAAGGCCTCTTTTACTTTGGCTGTGCACCTTTTGCTCAGCTACCTGGGGAAAGCTGCCAAGGACAATACACAGAAAAACAAAAGTAATTTTGGGTAGTCAAGGACAGCAGGTGGTGGCAGACAGAGCTGCAAAGCTGCAAATTTGCCACTAATAGGTTCAATAGGCATTAATTTTATAATGAAATGTTAACCAAAAAGCCTTATTGTTTTAGTAAACTCAATAAAGTCTGTAAACATATTTCCCTAACTTAACTATGTCATGTTTGTGCTCACCATAACCAGACACTAACCTCTATGCCTTCTCTTTATACATAATAACTGTTTTTAAACTGTGATTCCTAACATCCACATTAAAGTGGCTGCGTAATATCAGAATACACTTCTCTGTTAATGTGTTTTTCTTGACCTTGAGTAAAGATTTTCAGTTAAACTTTCATTTCCGTGGTCAAAAATGAACTTTCATGCTCAACTGCCTCTATATTGTTTGACACCGCAGATGTACAAAATGAAACAGAAGATGACTCACTGTCTCTAAATATGGAAAGCCATTCATTCTAGTGAAAGCACGTATACCACGAAAATGTTACAATCAGCCCCTTCTTCAGTGCTCATAATGTATGGTTAGTGTCTTTCTCTAGTCAAGCAGGCACAGAAATCAATTAATAGTCACATGTCTCCTGTCCCATCCAATCATTTATGTTCGTGATCCGTCTCGTTTATGTGGGCTCATTCATCTCTGTCTCATTCATTCTGCTTCCTTCAACGCTGTTGATCCTCGGTGTTTCTGCTCTGCCTTCGCCTTGCAATTTACCACCCTCCACTTCCCCCGGCCTCATCTAGCATTAGGTGTGGTTTCTGGAAATTTTTGTGTGTGTTCACTTTGATTAAAGAGGAACTCGACTGATTTTACAAAGTCTTTTGAAGACTTTCATGGTCTTGGGAAAGGCCTGTACAGATGTGAAAAAAAAAAGTTGCACTGCATAAAGCTTAATTTTCATTAGGGGCTCCATGAGAAACTGGGAATGTTGTGGAGACCTCTATCAGTAAACAGAAATCAACTATTTCTGCTAAGAGTAAATGTTACAGTTAATCAGCTAACTAAAATTAATTGTTCACCCCTGGTAAACTGTTTTGCTGCTCCAGAGATATACAAAACATCTCAAGTTGCAAAGTCAGAAAGATTTATCCAACATCTTCGAGCTTGGCGTACCGACATATCACACATCAGTTTGCTTTCAAAATGTCCACAGCTACATTTTGACAACAATCTGGAAGAGCTGATCACAGGCATTAACTTCCTATTCAGTGACTGATGCTCATTGCTATTTCTTCATCAAGACTTGTAAAATCAATACATAATTTCGCCGACTAGGGTGGTCTGCGAAGATGTCCTATTACCCCAATCAGCCACAATTTTAAACCCCATAGTAACTGCCAAAACAGCTCTGACTCTTCTGCACATGGGGCCTCTGGGCGGCATCCTATAGCGTCTGGCTCCATGTTGCTGGCAGCAAATTCTCTGGGATCTGTGAGTTGCAGTGGGTGGAGCCTCCCTGGATTGCTCTTTTTTTCAGTGCATGCCAAAAATGCTCAGTCAGATATGTACAGTGTGGAAGCTGGGTCACTGCTAAGAGATCTTTGCCTGCTTTCTCCAGCCACTGCTATTACTGCAGTTAGTTCAGTGTCCTCTGTTATCCTGCTGGGGGAGTCTGTTGCCATCGGAGGGTGTTGTTCCCATTTGGGAGGTTGTGCTCGCTCTGCAACAGTGTTTAAGAGTGTGATAAATGAAGCAATGCGAACAGGATCCAAGTTTCACAAAAGATAAACATTGCTAATCCCAATTTGTTTTTGCTTATCTGTGTGATTTATTTTTTTCTACATGTGCCAGGTGATGCAGTGGTGCCTCACGGCACCTGATGCTTGACTCCAGCCTTCGTAGAGTTTGCTTGGGTGCGCCACCTTCCTCCCGCGGCCTGTGGTAGATTAACTAGTGATTCTAAGGTGTAAATGTTTCACCTAAGAGTGAGTGGCTGCACATGTCAGTGTGTTATCCCTGTGAGGAGCTGGATGTATGGCAGCACGCTGCCAAGCTACACACATCATGTCCACTACCCCACAGCAGTTTCCGGCTCTAAATTTTGTGGTTATGGTTGAATCTTTTAATACATGCGCTCAATGAAATGATACGACAATTTGCATGCATTCACGTCACGTTAAAGCAAAGTAAGTTCCAACGATCTGTTGAAAGACAAAGGTGGAGGGGGAGAGATAAGGATGATGAAATAAAGAGAACAAGAATCTGTAGTATTCGGGCTCATGAAGGATCTATTTTATCTATTAGGAGGATTTTCTCTAACCAAAAACACATGGATGGAAAAGAAGGAAGAAAACCCGTTTCTAAGCTGGGCCTTTAACGGCAGATGTTAATCATAGTCAATTTTTTATGAGACACCAAAAAATGGAAGTGAATCTCACCAAAATGGAATTACACATTTTCTATTTTCACACCATTCAAAAATATGTTGTTTCTAGCTCAGGATTCAGTTCAAGTAACCGGCTTCAGTTCATCTGACCTTCATAAATAAAAAGATTGTCGACATCTGTCATAACAGCAGGGGGTTCTTTTGTGGTGGTGGTCAGAATCAGAGGAGATCTTGCTCTCACAAGGCTGAGACAATGCCCTCGAGTAACACCTTGAGAAAGTTACATTTTCAACTTGGATCAGACATCAGGAAGAATGAGGCACATTTGCGAGAAGACAACCATATCCTCCCCTGATTAATTAATCAGATCACCTTCCAGAAGAGAAGTGTCACAAAGAGTTTAGAAGGAAGAGGAGAACAAAACTAATAATCAGTATGTTGAAACCAATGACCGCCACACTGCACATAAGGCTTACGGCATGCCATTTACTTGAAATCACATGAACTTGACTCAACAACTTACACACACACCGGACAACAAAGTTTCACATGTGACCGTACCAGAGGTTAGAAAGGTCATACAGCTGAGAATAGAAAGTGGGTTAAATGAGGTTATGTGTCTATCTAAACAGCCATTCAAACAAAGAAAGTTGTGATTTCTCCTGACGGGAACTTTAAGCAGAAATGATTTCAAAACATTTCTAGCAGCAGTCCAAAGAATTAAAAATAACGGACTAAAATGAGCATCAAAGTACCAAACAGTTATGCTTTTCTTCTGTCTGTACTTATCTGCTTGCCAGACCATTAACAGGAATACTGATATTAAACTCAAAAAACATCAACTGTTGTACTTACCAGTCATTTAAACTCAGTTGTTTCAGTTTCTTTTATTTATTTTCAGTCCAAACTGAAGAGACATTTATATCCCAACCAAGACCAAAAGCTTTAACATTTTTCATATTGGACTTATTTTCACCTAGTCTTTGCTGTACAGTGAGCTTGATGTAATTTGACTGATGGCGATAATCTGCTCAGCAAACATGGGTTTTGTGGTTTTGAGCATGTTGCGTTCCGTGGTGGTACTTTGTTTTCCATTTGCGTGGAAAGACTTCGAGTGTCAAAGCCAAGGAGCTGGCTGAGTGTTTGTTGTTCTGAACAAGAGTACAAATGTGACCAACTTAACACTGATTTTATTTGTGCAGAATGACGCCCCCTGCTGAAGCGTTTCTTCACATTTCACACACAAAATACTTATTTTTTCAATGGATTCTAATATTTGCTCTCTCTCTCTCT